TCTGTCTTTTCCAAACTGAAACTGAAATACTAGTCGGTGGACAATCGAGTTCAATTGGATGAACTCAGCTGTGTTGTTAGGCTACACACACTAGAAGCATCTAGATATCTATGAACACATCGTGACACCAAGAAGATAAGGCGAAGAGATTAACTAGTTTACACTAGTTCTTCATTTGTAAAGGACAGTGGTATTGTTTCTCGTTGAGTTAATTAACTGTTTTGTTCGTAAATCATGCATCTAAACTGCTGTTTACAATTTAATTGCATTTACCCCAGTTGAAGTGATATTGTATTGAGTGTTTCGATTTTGCTTTTGTGTATTTATTGCATCGAAGCATACTTGGTCGACTTTTACATGATGTATTTACTTACGGTTTGAGAATCCTTTTACATATCCTGTTTGCGTCACCGTTGTAGTTGATTTTCAAGATGGCTAGATCTGCTCATAAATGTGGACAATCATATTGCTTATTTCCCGTGGAGAAAGGAATGCAATGTGATGAGTGTAATAAGTGGTTCCATAAGATGTGCACCCGATTAAGCCCCAGTGTATGTAAAAGGTGCTCAAAGCCCAACTCTCATTGGCTTTGTAGTTTTTGTTGCTCGAGCAATACATTACTCATCCAGGAAGCAGTTAGCCTCCTGATGTTAGCTAATAGTGAGGTTGATGAGGGCCGTGCTGGTAACATTGGCACTGATAGCGAAGATTGCGTTAGTGTCGTAAGTGCTGTCACGGCGCAAACCAGACATCTACATGTGCGACCCACAGTTAAACGTTTTTCCCCGAAACGATCAGTGAGTGACACCTCGTTGGATGTTGGCAGCCATATTGCTACAGCTGCGACTAGTGATCAAGATAAGCCAATTACTGTCCCGAGTTGTTCTAATGTAGATGTTTCGACTAATGGAAAATGGATGACGCGAAAACGCAGAGGAGTACGAAAGACAGCTAAAACTAATGACTGTTTACTTGATAAGTCCTTGGTGGGCTCTCAGACCAATCCGCCAAAGTCCCAAAGTAAAGCTTCGTTTAACATTGTTGTGAGTCACTCGCTCGACTCCCAGGACTCTGTTACAATAAAAACTAATCGTAAGATACCAGTAGTAAAAATACAGGACCTGACGTCACGGTCGAAAGCTGTGACACACAGTTTCAAAAGAAGCTAAATCCCTCCCTAGTTTAATTATTTGGAATCTAGAGGAGTCGAAAGACAACAACCCTGCTAGAAGACATGCACATGACCTGCAGTTAGTGGAGTCCGTGGTAAGAAATGTACTACCTGAAGAGGTTTCAGGGGAACATATTACAAAAGTAATACGACTTGGTAAATGCGTTGGAGGCGAGACCCAACCAAGAAGGATCATGAAGCTGGTTCTCGGGAAATTTGAAGAAAGACATATTATTGAAAAACGCATTAAAACTCGTGACTCAAATATCCGTATTCGACCAGATTGGCCGCTTGATGATCGAATCAAGTTGTAGAATGCTCTTACGGAGTTGAGGACTCGCAAATTGAATGGCGAAAACAACCTGACCATTAAGGGTTTTCAGGTAGTCAGGTCTTGGAAGCCAATTCTTCCGAGGCCTGTATGGGTAGAACGATTGATTGCCAAAACACCTTAATTGTGTGCTACACGAACGCTCATTGTCTTAGAAATAAAACGTTCGAGCTAAGTCTGATGGTGGAAGAATTATATCCCGATATAATCGTTGTCACAGAAACTTGGTTCATCGTAGATATAGACTGTTATCAAAATGGGTTTTGTGGGGAGTTTTAGAAATTTCACAGGTCGAAATCGTGAGTCAATTGAAGCTAGACCACCATGGAAAAGCTGGAAGCACTGGACGGCCGTTTCGTCCTAGTATGGGACTCCTCAGCAGCGCGCATCTACGATACCGCACCCCGCGGGATTCGAACCCAGGACCTACTGGTTTCGCGCGCGAGCACTTAACCACTAGACCAGTGGAGTTCAACCAGGTCTGTTGTAGGATAACAGCTCACTGAAGACAATGGTGTACGGTGGCGCAACTTCGTGGATTGGTTAAATTTAAACATTAACACCGTTGGATGCCGGCTCGGTGGTCTAGTGGTTAAGTGATCGCGCGCGAAACCAGTAGGTCCTGGGTTCGAATCCCGCGGGGTGCGGTATCGTAGATGCGCGCTGCTGAGGAGTCCCATACTAGGACGAAACGGCCGTCCAATGCCTCCAGGTTTTCCATGGTGGTCTAGTTTCAATTGACTCATGATTTCAACCTGTGAAATATAGACTGTTCTCCCATCATTGGAGGCTATATCTGTATTAGAAGTGATAGAGTTTCAAGTCGCAAAGGGGGAGGTATAATATTATAAGTTAGAGATCACTTTCGCGTACAATCAATCATATTGGAGACTCATATCAGTGGCACATGTGAGGTTGCATGTTGTAAGATTAAATCTAGAAATGGGTTAGTGACTATAGGGGGAATATGCCGTAGTCTGTTTTGTCTTTCTGACGACTTTATCCTAATACACATCTGTTCTTGGAGTATGGCAGAATGTTGTCTCATCATTGGGGACTTCAACGCACTGCATATCAACTAAATAGAGCTTACAGCTCCAGGCAGTGGTTTCGATAGCGACCTTTTATCTACCGTTATTCAGTGTGCACTTGTACAATGTATCACAAGACCGACACACATTGATTTCAATCATGATCCGTCACTGCTGGACCTCCCCCTCACCCACCACTATGAGGACGTCCTTGATATTCAGCACCTTCCCCCACTAGTAATCAGTGGTCACGTAATTCACTTTAAGTTTAGGACATATGGTATACGATTCGTATCTGCTCCACCCCGTCCCAATATCAGGCGAGCCAATATTCCGGCAATCAGAAACTGTGCTATCTCGACTGATTGGTCGGTCAACGCGGATGGATTGATCAAAGATGAATGGAATAAGTTTAGGGCTTCATTCGAGTCCGTAACGTCGCCGATAATCCCATGGTCAGCACGTAAGCCATCACATTGCTCTCCATGGATTAATAAAGAAACCCGGAAGCTGTTAAAGCGTAGGAAACATTTCTGGAACTTATTCTTGTTGACAGGTCATGCACCATTTAAGCGTGAGTACCGAAAATTCCGTAATATCTGTAAGAAAACCATAGCCAAATCCCGTACCACTTACGAACGACAGTTAGTAAATGATGTCCGTACTTGTCCGAAACGATTGTTTTCGTATGTTAAACAGCGAATGAAATGTAGTGATGGTATTCCCCTGTTACTGTTACACGAAAATTCAGATTTACTAGCTGAATCAGATTGAGCAAAAGCTGAGACTTTTTAAGACTATGCTAGCGAAGTCTACTCTACGTTTATTGTAGCAAATACTTGTCCCACTCACACCGAGATACCAACCATTGGATCTGTACAGGCGACTGAGGAAACTGTCCTTCCGTTGATAACTAACCTCAAACCTGGTAAGATACCGGGCCCTGACGGGTTACATCCACGGTTGCTGTCATCTCTTGCGGACATTATTTCAAAACCGCTCGCGACACTCTTCAACATGTCCCTTTCACTCGCTCAACTCCCTAGGGATTGGAAGGACTCCATAGTCAGTCCTATATTTAAGAACGGTCAGAGACAGTAGTATCTAACTACCGGCCTGTCAGACTAACTAGCATAGTCGTTAAGTTACTGGAAAAGATAATTCGGGTTAGGTTGCTAAGCCACATATATTTACACAATCTGTTAGCTCCTGAGCGACACGGATTTCGTAACAAGCGTTCATGCTTGACTAACTTGCTTATTGTGACAGAGGAATGGACAGCAGCCCTAGATAACGGTCTGTCTGTCGATGTGATATTCATAGATTTTAACAAAGCATTTGACAAGGTTTCACACGTAGGTCTTATGCAGAAGCTCACGGGCTTCGGAATAATAGGTACTGCACAGGAGTGGAAAGGCAACTTCATATGTGACAGCAGACAGAGAGTGAGGGTCAACGGAACGCTATCCGATTGGAAGCCGGTCAAAAGTGGTGTATCCCAAGGCACCATCTTAGTCCCTCTGCTCTTCCTTCTCTACGTTAATGAGTTACCTCTGTTGCTTAAGTCGTCGACATTATTGTTTGCAGATGATGTAAAAATCTGGAGAACAATAAAAGGTGCGGCTGATCATCTGGATCTTCAAGCTGACTTAGACGGTTTTGTTAGATGGGATCGAGAGTGGGGCTTAGAAATCAATGGTAGGAAGAGTGGGCTAATGCACATCAGTCAAGGTAATAGTTACCGTTATACTATTGAGGGTAAACCTCTTCCATGCGTTCAATAGCATAAAGACCTAGGAGTAGTGATAAGTCATGATTTAAGAACACCTACACATTGCAAAGCAGCCGCTGTCAAAGGTTTTCGTGCGTTATGGTCAATTCGCCGAGTGTTCAAATCTTTTGACGAGGAAATGTTTAAAATTTTATATCCCACCTATGTAAGACCACACTTAGAGTACTGTATTCAAGCAGCTAACCCATATCTGATAAAGGATACTAACTCACTTGAACGTGTTCAGCGTGTGGGAACTAAATTAGTGAAGGGTCTTTCTAGACTCCCTTACGACGAGCGTTTAAAACTCCTAAACATTTTCCCCTTGTCGTATCGTAGTACATGAGGTGACCTTATACTGACATTTCGTATCTTTAATTATGATTTGGGTGTTAATATGTCTTATCTTTTTGCTCCCTCCAGCACTAGTAATTTCCGAGGTCATAGCAAGAAGGTTCATAAACCACGATCCAATAAACCTAAAGTGGGGTCCCGTTTTTCTCATCGAGTAGTCAATGATTGGAACGCCTCACCCGAGCAAGTGGTATCAGCCCAATCAGTGAATGCTTTCAAGAAGCTGGACCTTCACCGGAAAGCAATGTGTCAGGATTAATACAGGTTCACCAACCTACTATCCTTATTACTGAAGACTGAAGACTGTACATTGAAGGTTACTTGGTAATCTTTTTATTGACATTTCAATGATGGAGATTCTAGGATGACGCTACTTGACTAATTGGGCTTGATTTGTATAAATGAGTGGACATTCTGTATTTCACCAATATGAAGGTCTTTCTAGAGGGGTTAGTTTTTGTAATCTTCCATATTTCATGCATAATTATAGGATCTTAATTCCGGATTAATAGTTCTCACGATTGATAAATTACTTGATCATCCTTGTCATTTTGTGGTCGCTTTTCATGTTTGAGTCTGCCGAAATATGCAACCTAATTCATTCATTTCCTTAGGTCAACTAACTTCTTCCTTCTCCTAAAAATTGGTCTGGTTTTGTCTCATTACTTTCCATCCATTTATACCACAGAAATGTTTATAAGTTGTCGTTTATCTTTAAAAGACTGTACTCATAATCCTCTCACCACAGTTGCTCTTTCAGCAATTATTCCTAAACCTAATGTTTTGACTTTAATTTGTTCATCTTAGTAGTCAAGTATAAATATGTGTACCAGCTGTTCAGACTACAATATATAATCAAACGGATGATTGGGTAGTGATAACTAAAGTGGTTTGACCAACAAGTTACTTCTATAATTGCGACTTGTTTCATAACTCCACCTTTAGTGAGGTAGTTTAGGCAGCCCATAGCGGTGGTAAGTTCCGAAAAGTGTAGAGGCTAAGTTGACACGTTTCATCAGTTTAGGAAGTCATTAACCGTTGGTCTGACCCATGCTGATAGATGCCAACTACCTAATTCAAGTCCGTATGATAATTGTAATCAGTAGCTGAAGACCATAGTTGAAATGGCTCAGAATCGTTCACAATGGCGCAGATTTATTTACTATTTATCTCCCCAGTCTTGGATTCCACCATTCCTTTGTGCGTACATTTGCTTTCCATCTTTTCAAAACAATATCACTACTCAGTATTCCTCACTGTTATTGTACATGGATTAAATTAATTTATTATAAACTTCGACTTCAATACAGGGTACGAAACTGCTTGTATCCTTCTCGTTTCTGTCGCGCTAATTAGGGATAAGTCTGGTTTTATGTAGGAACCTGTGTTGGTCGTAACCCCAATTGTTACATATAGGTTAAAATGATAAGGATCCACAGACTGAGTGACTATCACTAAACACATTCATAGTAAAATTCCACGCAAAGTTCACAAAGTAATAAAAAAAAGTGTGGAACGTGTACATTGCATTTACCTTAAATCGATATTGGTTTCCATCCTCATAGGTTGTGTTTCGGGATTGCATATCCATGGTTAATCGCTACCAAAATGTTTCAATCTCTTTTGTTCAGTCTTAACGTGAACTTGTACGTATGTACATTAGTTAAAATTGCCATAACCCATTAGCATAGAGATAAAATTGTCAGGCCAAATCCCAGAATAGTAGAGGTTGTAACATTATCAGTGTGAATAAGAAAGACTAGGCATCGAAGATACGATTCAGGAAGAAAATATAAATTACTGAAATAAAAACAAACATTCGATTACATGAGCAGTTTAAACAAGCACATAGTCTTGGATTTATTTGATTGTCAAGACTGGGACGATGCCAAGATTCTGAAGATATTTGTTGACATACTAGAAAGAAGAAAATTATTTATTTATTTATTTGAACACATAAATATTGGTACAAGAGAACGCCAATATATTTGCGCCACACAAAACAACGAGAATTTGAAAAGAAAGAAAAAAAAAGATAAGGAAGAGGTTGGTGTAAGGTAGTGTAGTAATAATAATAGTAATAATGAGGGAACGGAAAGGTACAATCAGAAGTCTTTCAGTTACAAAGAACCAGTGGATTTCTTCAAAGTCTATCACACTGATGGATTCTCTCAAACTCGTCCCATCAGGTTCCGAACATGAGGAAGAGCGACAACAAATCAGATCTAGGTTAAGAAAAAGTCTAAGGAACGACCGTGAGCAGTGGTGGGTAACGAAAGCAAAAGAGATGGAAAAGGCGGCGACTATAGGGAACACAAGACAGCTTTACAGACTAATAAAAGAAACTGGAATTAATAAGTCAAGTGTAAGTGAGATTATATCGGAAAAAGACGATACACTCATCTGCTCCCAGTCCAGGCGTTTAGAACGATGGGCGGAACATTTCAGAGAACAGTTCAGCTGGCCTTCAGCTACTCTACAACTACCCTCCATTCCCAGACAGTGTGAATGGAACATTGAAGTAGGTCCCCCAACTCTTGCTGAAGTTTAAAAGGCTATAGTTAATCTGAAACGAGGAAGGGCAGCTGCTCCAGATGGATTGGCTCCAGAGGTCTTTAAGGATGGTGGTCCAATTTTAGCGATTAGGTTGACTAATATTTTAGCTAAAATCTGGGAGTTAGACGTTATTCCATCTGACTGGTCATAATCACTTATCGTCCCAATATATGAGAGAGGGTTAAAAGCATCCTGTGACAACCACAGAGGGATTAGTTTAACTAATATAATATCGAAAATACTAGCCTCGATAATTATTAGACGCCTAACTATGACTCGTGAACTGCAAACACGAGAGAATCAAGCTGGCTTTAGACCTGGTCGTGGCTGCATCGACCACATATTCACCATTCGTCAGATTCTAGAACACAGGCATACTTATCGACGTCCGACAATGGTGGTCTTTCTTGACTTGAAAGCAGCATTTGACTCGGTAGACCGCGAGATTCGGCGGCAGTGTCTGTCATTGAAAGGCGCACCCCAGAAGTACATAAACCTTGTGAAGGCTCTTCACTCGAACACTACTAGTCGAGTCAGAGCTTATGGCGAACTGTCATCTGCTTTTGCAACTTCAAGTGGTGTCCATCAAGGCTGTCCACTTTCCCCATTTTTGTTTAACTTGATCATAGATCTACTGATGGAAATAACTTTCTCGTCAACTGAGTTCTCGGGTATTGATCTACCAGGAGGTCCACTTATCGACTTAGAATACGCAGATGACATAGTCCTGTTTGGTGAAGACGCTGACAAAATGCAGAGTCTTCTGGTAGCACTGAGCAACAATGCCAGGATGTTTGGAATGCGCTTCTCTCCCTCTAAATGCAAGTTGTTGCTTCACGACTGGTCTGCGTCAACACCTGAACTAAGGATAGGGAGTGAAGTAGTCGAACACGTCGACAACTTCACATATCTTGGAAGTCTCATCAGCCCTAATGGGTTGGTGTCTGACGAAATTTCAGCACGGATTCGAAAAGCTTGCTTGCTTTTGCCAACTTACGTCACCTTTGGCGAAGGCGAGATATCCGTCTATCAATAAAAGGACGAGTATACTGCGCGGCAGTCCGTTCTGTTTTACTTTACGGCAGCGAAACATGGCCTTTAAGAGTAGAAGACACTCGTAAGCTATTAGTATTTGACCACAGATGCCTTAGAAATATTGCTGGCGTCTTCTGGGATCACCGGGTAAGTAATAGTGAGGTTAGACGCAGGGTATTAGGGGATGATGGTAAATCTGTTGATGAGGGTATGGATCTTCATCGACTGAGATGGTTGGGCCACGTGTTACGTATGCGTGAACACCGATTACCACGACGTGCAATGCTATCCGGTACTGGAAATGGTTGGAAGAAAGTTAGGGGCGGCCAAACCAAAACGTGGCATCAGTGCTTGAAGTCACTAGCTTCTAGTCTGAGCCATGTTGGTAGATGCAGACTACTTGGTTGGGGTCCTCGTGACTATCGTAACCAATGGTTGGAGACTCTTGGTGACATGGCTCAGAATCGATCACAATGGCGTCGGTGTATACACTCCCTGTCTTCCCTTAAACTAAGAGATTAAAATCGCTTCATATCTTTCTTTCTACAAACCAATTCTTTCTTCTTGTACTATATCTCTATATGCAATCTTTCTCTTATATATTACTACCTTTGACCTAACCACTGCTATGAATCCGGTGTTCATCTTGTTGTGCTGATGCGGTATGGCAACCTGGACTGATGAACATATCTGCCTGGTCCTATGTTGTAGCTGACTGACTGAGTTAAGGGAGACACAACCACGTTTTATGAAGAAAGTAAAAGGAGTTTACAGCAGGATCGCCACTGGCTTCTGTTATGAGCTATATCTGATAACGTCTCTAGCCACTGTGTTCCATCATCTCTCGGACCCCAACCAGGGAGTCATGAAGGACCAACAGAAGCCAGTCCTTTGCAGCTTTCTTTCATAACACGACACCATGTCATATGCTGACCACCTCTCCGCTTCTTCCAACCAGTCCCAGAGTCGGCAAATAATGCACGATGTGGAACTCTCTGTGACAACATTCGTAGAACATGTCCAAACCACCGAAGTCGATGTTTGAAGATGGTGACACGAATTGAATTATCGTCTCTGTCCGAACACACGATGCCGAACCTCTGCATAACTAAAATGATGTTGCCACTGGATGTCAGCGATCCTTCGGAGACAACGATGATCAAACACAGAGTCGTCTAATATCCGCAACTTGGAGAGGTCAGGTTTCACAAGCATAGAACAAAACTGCTCTCACCGACGCGTTGTAGATCCGACCTTTTACAACCAGACTGACATCACGAAGGCGCCAAAGGTGGCCCAAATTGGCATAAGCCGCTCTGGCTTTCACTATACGTGCATTGATCTCATCACTGACCCCACTACCAGCACTTATGCAGCTACCCAAATACACAAACTTCTCGACTACTTCTATCTGCTCACCATCCAGGGTGAGTACATGATTAGAATCCTGCCAGTCTTGTAGAAGTACTTTTCACTTAGAAGGTGCAAAGCACATACCATACTTACGGACACTGATTGCCAACTGATTAAGTGCGGATTGCATGCCTTGGGCATTATCGCACAGAAGACAATATCGTCCGCATACTCAAGGTCGAGAAGTCCTTCTCCAGGCAACAGATCCACACCGCCATTACTTACATCCATCAGAGCTGTTTCCAGAATGTCGATAGCAAAGTTGAAGAGGAATGGTGAGATTGGGCAACCCTGTCTAACCCCACTCTCTAGTTCCTAAACCTTTGTAAACAACGTCGTCAATTCCTTAGCCAGAAAGTCACTACCATCTTTAAAAAGAGTCGGAGGTAAGTCATCTGGGCCTAGTGATTTGTAGCGCCTCAAGAGTTGAAGTTCCTTGCGGACTTCCGCCTCATTTGGTGGATCAGTCGTCACCGGCCATGGAGGGCAGGACAGTTTGACCGATGTTGCAGGAGCAGCAGGCCAGTTGGACTGCCCTTCGAAGAATTCTGTTCATCGTTCAAGACGTCGATGGACGTTAGTGATTGGCATCCCATCATCCTCGCAGATTGTTTCGCTCACACCAGACTTCTTGCTGCCAGTGGCTCGGATGAGTTGGAAGAGCTTCCGGTAATTACCAGATGCAGCTGCTGCTTCCAACTCATTAGCACGCTCCGACCACCAGGTTTCTTGGTCCTTACGCAAGCCTTGCTCGAATCCCTTACGTAACATCCTTCGTTTATGGTCAAACTCACGGTCACCCGGAGTAGATCGACTGGCTTCAATGAGTTGTAAGGAACGTGAAGAAACCCGGTGCTTATAAGCGGGCCGTTTTGCGAAGCCGCAAGAGGCTTTACTCGCCATTTTCATGGCGTCGTGAATTTGCAACCAATGCTCATCTATACTTTTCGGTGGAATGGTAGCTAGCCTAGAAGCTAGCTCGGTTCGATACTTACTAGCAACAGAAGTTGCAACCAGCTTGCTAACATCAATCCGTTGGTGGCGGTCATTTCGTTGTCCACTGAAAAGTAAGATAAGATTGGCGCAGACCAAAGCATGGTCAAAGGCCAGACAGGTACTCCAAAAGGAGCGGCAGTCTTGTACACAACCACGCCAGCGGTAGCTGATCGCGATGTGATCAATCTAAGTCCAGCCTTGGGATGCAGAGGGAGGACGCCAGGTGGCACATCGGTGATGACTGTGCCGAAAGATAGTGCTTGCCAGAAACAGGTTGTGGTCTGTGCATAGTTGCAGTAGACGGTCCCCGTTATCTGACCTGCGACCAGCGAGTCCCCATCGGCCACCTAAACGATTCTCTTCTGTGCCTAGACGCCCGACCTGAGCATTCAAGTCTCTGGCTAGTACTACAATATCTGTCGAACACACTTTCTGGAGAAGAACAGATAACTGGTAGTAAAACTCATCCTTGATTGCATCCGGGCTGCAATCTGTCGGGGCATAGGCGGAGATGACGAAAAGACATCGTTTCTCACGCCGATTTCTTCTCACTTTGATGGAACTTTCTAATCAAACAGCACATAACCGACTGTTAATGGGGATCCAATCGACTAGTGCTGCCTCAGCTCTAGCGCTTAGTGCGACACCAACGCCAGCAAGACCAGACGTAGATGCCGCAGGGTCTCCGGATAAGCGCACGTAAAACAAGCTTTTCGAAGCGACAAATGGAGAGTGAATTTGTAGTACTTCACCAGAGTCTTGAATCCGGGTCTCGGATAGACAGCAGACATCGATATTAAGACTTTCCAAAGACATAGCCAGCCCTATCTGTTGTCCAACCTGCATAAGTGTGCGAACGTTGAAGGCAGCCAGTTTGAATGGTGCACGTGGTTTCAGAAAAACTGCTTCAGTACTTATATTCGGTGATAACATACAATTTTCAACCGGACAGTGACTCGAGAACGTTTAGATACAGTCGAATTTCCACCAAAGACAAGCCGCTGTATAAGTACAAAAGAGGGTGAATAATGTGGTAAATAATAATAATAATAATAATAATAATAATAATAATAATAATAATAATAATAATTTGATTGTTATTCGAAGCGAGAAAAGTAGTCTCCATAGATATAGAGAGTTCATTATTTGCGTGTGGGCTGCGACACTGCTCGGGTGCACAAACCGAAGCAGGTGGTTTTTTAGGGGGCCACATACCGAGCCTTCGACCTAAAAGTCTGATCCACAAGGCAGTGGAGCAACGTAAGGAGAAGCAGTCCCATGGTAGCCGGTGACCAACGATTGGTTCATACGCCATTTGTTCCTTCAGGATACTGGAGCCCATGTGCACAATTGGTTTGGAATCAGGGTTTTCCAGCTTCCCTACGTGGACCCTCCATGTCCACCAATCCGGTTAATGCACCGGACATTCGCTTTTCGTCCTCTCAATTTCGTAAACAACACCACGAGAAGGCGGTGGGTAGGACTTCTCTGACAGAGGCTATGTACGCGTGGCCATGTGAGAGCGGACCCTCCCCTCTCGGCCATACCAGGGCATTTGGGGGCAGCATCACTGTTATGCGGGTTGTCTAAGGGGAACGCATTACTACCGTCACACCTCTGTACAGTCAACAGTACGACTTCGCCCTCAGACCTTGGGTTTGTTGCTTTTAGTCTTACCGCTCCCTAACCGACCTGTTTGGCATGATAGGACTTTGAGAAACGATTGTTCCAGCCAGTATGGCTCGACTGGTTTATTACGATGAGCAAGCCTGATCACCACATCAAGATAGCAACAACGGTCATGTTATTATGTTAACACAGATAACACAAGAAACAAAATGTGTTTATAAAACATTTCATTGAACTTGATGGTTTCATAAAGTCTTTTTCGTTGTTTGTTTTCTCATTCTGAGTATAAACATACGATTTAAACAAAATAAAACATAAAGCTTATCACTTAAGTAAATTGGCTCGATTTTCCTTAATTTCGGACCATTAGGTCAAAGGGTAATATATTTTACGGTTGGAGTCGATGAACACAAAGTCCTAGAATTAAACTTCAATCATGTTAGGACTCGTTAGCAAAATGTCGGAAACCTTGAGTGTGGATGACCTCTACCAGTGATTAGTCAAATGATGTCGGTTATTATTCAGTAAGTCATTAGTTTAATTGGGGAGTATTGTACAAGTTATCATATTTATTTGTCTCTAACTAGCCGTCTTACACTTTATTAACCGAGCTGCTCAGACAGTTCCATAACCCCATGGATTCAAACTCACTCTAAATTAATATTTTTTCCACCGCCAAACAGCTGATGTTACTAAATTCTCGAATCTGCGTGAGACTGAAAATTAAAATAAATTTTTGTATGGATTTTATACTAGTTACCTAAATCCGAATTTCCCAGTTTTTCTCTTCAACTACGTAATCTGCATTTTCTTCATTATTGTTTAGGTCTTAAGTCCAGTTAATTATGTCAGATGTCAACAAATCAATCAACACCTAGTCAATAGACTAGGTTTAGAAACTAGCCTTCAGGTAAGTGTCAATTTTTACTTTGTAATTTTTTAGGGTCATCATGGTTGTGTTAACTGCTTAGAATGGAACGAGCGTGGTTCCTATCTTGCTAGTGGTTCAGATGATCGGCGTCTAATTATCTGGGATCCATTTGAACGTAAATCTCTTTTAACAATGAACACTGGTCATATGGCGAATATATTTTCTGTTAAGTTCTTATCTAGTCTAAATGTAAGTACTATCGTTTTTGTTGTTATTGGAAACTCATAATCATCTTGTTTTTCTAGGAGAATCTGATTGTAACGGGTGCAGCTGATAACAAAATTCGTGTACATGACATTAAAGCACTAGAAACTCGGCATGTATTTTCTTGTCATTCAGGTCGCGTTAAACGATTGGCGAATACTCCATCTGAACCATTCTTATTTTGGTCAGCCTCAGAAGATGGGACCTGTAGACAGTTTGACCTACGAGATCCTGATCAGGTATGTTTTTTGTTTCTTAAAATTGTTTCTAAAAAGATATACAATTAAAAAATTTTGAATACAGATTCAATTAGCTTATGCTTAATTGATGCAATCTATATATTCAAACGTCACAGTAAGAATGAAAAATAACCATATTTTCAATAAAAATTTTCCTTTACACTTAAGAGATACATGGATAAGTAAATAGGTTTACTTATCAAACAGAGATATCCCAGTTTTTATCAACGGTCGAGGATTTTGTGCAAAGATCTGTATGTTTCGATATACCGCAGATATAAAAATTCTTTAACTTATGAATGTCAAGTTGATAATATTGAGCGTAAGTGCATGATTTTAGATTAGAAAAGCAAATTAGTTAATCACCCTATATATCTGCACATAAAAGTGAGTAAACTGTATTTTACCACAAAATGCAAGATGCATTTACAAATGATATAGGAGCTAGGTAGAGAATGCGAGTATTCTAAGCAACTGATCGCTGACATACGTCACATAGAATCATGTTTTTATTGATTCTAAACTGTCTTGTCCATTATTTTAACTTTCTTCGGTTCTGTTCTGGGTTTTTTGATACCATCAAGTTTATTAATTCAGTTTTGCTCCTCTGATTTTGTATTGGTGTGGAAATCGTGTATACAAGTAACCAACTGAATATCAGTTATCTACCATTTATTGTCCAATCTAAACAAGTTATGAACATTTGGTTACTTGAAATATCACACCTAATTTTTAATGAAGTAACATTGATGAGAACACATTATAGCACTAAATAAATAATATATTTGTAATATCCCGATGAGTAGAAAAATTAGGTTTTCTGACGTTTCATGACTTAGTGTAAGCCACTTCTTCAGAGAGTAAATAACCAAATCAAAATTAATCCAAGTTTAAATAGTACAACGGTGCATCAAGTCAAACCTTGGTAATGATACCTACATTATAGCACTGTTTCATAAAACATTTGCGTACAATCTCATAGGTATATGAAATATCGTTCCTTTTATCAGTTACTTTCGATGAAGCATTAGTGTAGCCCTGAGCCTAGCATATAAAACTGTACCTGTACCTGTATTTGTTTTGGTATATAATGAAGTACAGTTTTATAGAAAGGAAATGAAACTACACCTGCTGTGTAAAAGACAGGTGATACTACTTAGATGTTCATAAGGACTAAATTAGTGTTCTAACTTAACTAAATGGTTGAAATTCGTTTTTAAATCGTCCATCTGGTACTCGTGCTATTACTAATTTAAATAAGAAAGAAGTTGATTTATCTAAAAGTATAACCTATCTGTGAAATATCATATTTAAAATAATCTTTCATGTTTTTATCTTTTACAAGACTTCTGTAAATAAACCATGTAATGTATTAGTCAATTTACGATTTCAAGATAACGTTTTTGCCGAAGCTAAGTGTATTGCAGTAAATCCATTAAAGTCTGAATTGGTTGCTATCGGTGGGAATGAACCATTTGTACGAATGTTTGATCGGCGTAAATTAACACTTTCTACGTATGATAGTGTTACACCACAGGAGAGAATGTAAGCTTTTAATTTAAATTAAAAAATATATTATTAGCATATTAATTAATAAGGTACCTACTGTGCCTTTCCGTGATTGAGTTTAAATTTTCTCTCAACCATAATTTGTTGCTATTAGCATATCTTTTGACGAGTTATTTTATAAGATCTCGAACCATGTGCGGAGCTTTAAATCTACCATCATTAAATTCTCATCCCCACCAGTTCAGCTTCGAGGTCCCTCCACAATCCAATAACTACACAATCTTTTGAATGTAATTCCTATGATGGATTAAACTGCAAAATCGTGCATGGAGGAAAGTTGACAAACTCGATCGAAGTAAAAACCGGTGTCAAGAAAGGTTGCTTACTCTCACCATTTCTCTTTCTCCTGGTGATCGACTAGATCATGAAGAAGTCAACATCTGAAGGGAAGCACGGGATACAGTGGACATCTAGGATGCAGTTGGACAATCTAGACTTCACAGATTATCTGGCTCTTCTATCGCAAACGCAACAACAAATGCAGGAGAAGACGACCAGTGTAGCAGCAGCCTCAGCAGCAGTAGGTCTCAATATATACAAAGGGAAAAGCAAGATTCCCCCATACAACACAGTATACACCAATCGACCACAGTTGACGGAGAAGCTTTGGGAGGTGTAAAAGGCTTTGCATATCTGAGCAACATCATTGATGAACAGGGTGGATCTGATGCAGATGTGAAGGCACGGATCGGAAAAGCAAGAACAGCATATTTACAACTGAAGAACATCTGGAACTCAAAACAACTGTCAACCAACACCAAGGTCAGGACTTTCAATACAAATGTCAAGACAGTTCTACTATATGAGACGGAAACCTGGAGAACTACGAAAGCCGTCATCCAGAAGATACAGGTGTTTATTAACAGTTGTCTACGCAAAATACTTCGGATCCGTTGGCCGAACACTATTAGCAACGACCTACTATGGGAGAGAACAAACCAGATCCCAGTGGAGGAAGAAATCAGGAAGAAGCGCTGGAAGTGGATAGGACACATATTGAAGAAAGCACCCAACCACGTCACAAGACAAGCCCCCACATGGAATCCTCAAGGCCAAAGGAGAAGAGGAAGACAAAAAGACATTTTACGCCGGGGAATGGAGATAGACATGAGTAAAATGGACAAGAATTGGATGGAACTAGAAAAGAAGTCCGAGGACAGAGTGGGATGGAGAATGCTGGTTGGCGGCCTATACTCTCTTGGGAGTGACAGGCGTAAGTAAGTAAATAATTGGTCAGTCATATGCAACGTACAGTTCGGTGAAAAATTCCCTTTGACTCAAGTTGTTTGATTACACATCAATACAATGAGTTCGAATTTAAAAACAAAGGAGTTGAAATAATAAAGTTGGTCATGGAAATTAGATTGGTAATATAGTTGGAAACAATCAAGTTGAATCAAAGAATGGAAAGTATAGATAAACAGATCAGTGTCTGGAGAAATATAATAGATAAATAAATCTGCAACCTTGCAACTGGTGTTAAAAGATGTAAGCCATTGTAAACATCTCAGCATTCATTGGTTCACTCAGTTTAAACGTATTGAAAAACGAATAATAAATATATATTTTTTATATCCCAATGAATAGAAAAATTGTATTTCTGGCGTTTCGTAGCTTTATTTGAGCTGCTTCTTTAGAGTAAAACGGTATCGTTCCCATTTGTTAAGTTCTGCTGTCTGCTTTGCCTATTTGTTCTGAATAGTAGAAATTTTACCCTAGAAAAAGATTGCATTATTCTGTTTTTATGGATTCTTAAACAGTTTATGTGTGGTTTTTTTGAAGTTTCATGGTTCCGTTCATCTTCCACAAGTCACTTCAAATCTCGACTGTGAAATCTTAGTAATGTAGCCCGTCAAAATACTAACTCTTTGTGTCTATTTAGATGAACTATTGAAACTGTTCGACCAATTAATTAGTAATAAAGTAGTTGTGATCGCCTAACAGACTTTTTCGTTATCGGACAAGTCATAATCTATAGTATCAACGTGTTTAAAAGCCGGGAAAATAGCAATGATTAACGTTCAGAAACGAATCGACAGAGGTTAATAGTCGCCAGTTATCAGATTTTGGTTCATTGATTTTTTATACCATGGGGCTTACCTATTTCCGTTTGATTACTAGATGATATCTACTATTATCAACTATCACTGTACTGATTATTCATCAGTTCTAACATTAGGAATCATGAACGTGGTCCTTCAGAACTACTTGTCTTTTGACATTATAGCATAAACGTGTTGTTTGTTTTTACAATGGTCCGTCACATAGTCTTTATATTCTACCTAACTTGTGCTTAAATAAAATAGCTAATAATTTATTATCATATGACTCTAAGAAAACTAATGTTAGATAGCGTTTGTAGGAGCCTTATTATTATTATTGTTATTATTATTATTATTATTATTATTATTATTGTTATTATTATTATTATTATTATTATTATTATTATTATTATTATTATTATTATTATTATTATGGCTTTATTCGATATTATTTTTTGGTACAATATAAAATTCTCAGCACAGGGTATTTCAACGAGTTGTATACGGTTATTTTCTTAACCGAATGTATATGCAATCTTCACAGTTTGAAATCATGATTTGGTCTTAGTTAGACCACCATTGTAAACGTGGAAGCCCTGAACAGCCGCTTCAGCAGCTCACATCCACAAGCGGGCGTTCAGGAGTAGAAACAAGGACTTTCGATCTTGCATGCGAACGATTAACCACTGAGCCGACACCCAACGGTGTTAATATCTAACTTCGATCAGTTTACGATATTCCCCAACCTTTATCCTCTGGTAGATGGTTGTTCCATACGCGACGTAATTGAATTCCACTGGTCATGAGTTTTTATTAGAACTTGAGGAGTTGTATCCTGTAGCTAGTCACCAGTGAGTTGCTTACTTACTTACGCCTGTTACTCATCGTGAAGAGGCATAGGCCGCCCAGCAGCACTCTCCATCCAACCCTGTTCTGGTCAGTACAGGATCATTGTTAGTATAGTAGGATTTGTGGGGATCGCTGAATTTTCGTAGTTTTAAATAACGATTTGATCTTAGTTAAATGTCTTAGATAATACAGTAGTATAAGTTATTTGTTGTGGTAATTTCTTATGTTTACAACTAGTTTACATCATTAATAAAATCTCTGGTTGAAATGTATAACTTTAATTACAGTTCAGTGAATCCTGTACATTCTAGATGACTTTCGTGGTCATTCAGATCTAATGTTAACGTAATTCAATAACTTGTTGATAAAAAGAACTATCAGTTCAGTTAAGCACCGAGTTTTATTGGAATGTTTGCCCATTTTGTAAAAGTAAATATCTTAATCCATCACCCATGATGGAGTTACAACACCAGGTGACATGCTTGATGGTGAGATTTAATTTAAGCGTTAAAATTCCATCTAAAGCCACCTATAAAATGAACATCATTGTAGTTGTTATCACATTCCACCCTATTTAGATTCCTTTGATCATTGTTAAGTTAACTTACAGTCTTCTCTGTAAATTCTTGTATCTGAAAACTATTTCCATATATTCTCTAGACAAGCTGCATCAAGGAGAACCCCTATAAACATTCCATCAAGCTCGCTGCCTTCATTTCCCTATGGTGCAGCTAAATATTTTGTTCCATGTAAGTATTGAAACTAAAAATTCTTCCTCATTTATGTAAATATTTCTTGTAGATAAAGAACTAGGATTTTACCTCAATTTCTTCACCTCATGAAAAAAATAGCATTATGCCAGGACGAAGTAACTGTCCGTTGCTTCGTGGTTTAAAATGGTTTTTTCAACTGATATGAGTCTTGAATAAAAACGTTATACTGAAGAATCTTGGCCAACCCCGTTACTGAATGGTCATCACGGGATCACTAAGGATTAACTCCAAAAAGAATTCCCAGTGTATTAGAGCAAAGCTGTAACTCGTGTTTCTCAACCATTGTTGATTGGCTGAAGATTAAAATGTGGACTATTGGCTCCTGACTCGGCAGCTCTATAGTATTCTCGCAGGGAGTTAAAAAGGTCCTGAAGGCTATCCCTAGCGGATCCGTAGCATTACAGTACAGAATAGTGTCAAACAAATAAGAAACAGCTGTACAATAGCCAGTCCGTTTTCATTGAATACGGTGAGCTAATAGTAGAATATCATCGTATTTTAATATCTTAGATTAACATTTTTGATCTGCTTCTTTGTGATGAAACCCCTGTATAAGCTATTCAAGTAATTAAACCATCTGACTTTCAGTCACTGTTTGTGGTTTCAAATCTCACTTCACCTCCGGTTTAGGCAGCTTTGTCTTACCTATACATTCTACATAAAATATGTAGCTCAAAGTCGTGTGCATACAAAATTGGTATTTGGTAAATGAGTTACGTGGATTTACATTAATATAAATTGTGATTTCAAATATTTTTCGACACAATGAATGTTACATGTTCTCATATGGAGCGCTTATAGAGTTAGCATAAATTTAGTAGATGTTTTTGACTATTACCACTTGGGTTGTTGGTTTTGATGTAAAGTTTATCTTTGAATTTTGTCAATAAATTAATATTTCAGTTTTTATTTAAAACGAATAATCAACTACTGCTCACCAATTCTCTCAATCTCTTTTTGCATCATTTTCTGTCATTTCAGCTCATCTACCTGGTAAAATATTAACTGATGGTTTAGACAATCAAACTTTCAGTGTAACATCAGTCAGTTTTAGTTCAGATGGTGAAGAACTATTAGCTAATGTTGGACGTGATAATATTTATCTATTTCATTTAGCTTCACAAAATGAACCATTTCAATGTCAATCATCGTTTAAATCAACTAAATTATTGTATAGTTTATCTGCAACTCAACCAAGGGATAGGTTTCGTTCTTTTCGTATTCCTACCTGGTTTCGTCCTTCAAATATGGGATATTATGATTCTTATTCGGGTAATATAAATATTACTGTTTACACTTGTTCTAAATTCATACGTCGTTATCTGTGATGGGTTTTGTTCGTTCTCTGTTG